TGTAACTCCGTACTGTCTGTACTGTTCCTTTGCTATTTTGTAAAATGTTGTCTGTCTGTTAATATTTTCCTCCTTTTATTTTTAAAATTAAAAAAAAAAAAAAAAGAAATGCTATTTCCTTAACTCTGAACATTTAAGCTTTCAGCATACTTGACGCTTTGGTTTTGCTAGCTGTAAGAATATAGAATGATATTTACTGGCTGTTAAAAGTTTTGACGTTAGTAAAAAATCAACTCATTCAAAATATGCTGCTGAACATTCAGAGAAATTGACTGAATTGGCCATATACTACGAAGACATCATCTATAAATGGCAATCATAGTGCTTACAAGGTTCAACACAAGTTGAAATGTTCATCTCATAAATGAGGAAAAACTATGGCAGAGAGACAAAGTGGATCTTTTCGCTTCAACAATTAGATAAGGCACTGAACAATGACAAGTCCCAGAAAACCCAAGACTTGCTTAATGAATAAAGGGCAATTACTTTGCAAATATCACCGTCTAGTGGAATTTACCTTGTACTTGAATAGATTGTATTATAAGACTTGTCCAAAAGGGATATTTCAATATGAATTTGGATACATTTTTCTGCTTACACTTTCCAAAAGATCAGTACAATAAGTACAGATTAAAATGGGTACAGCTGATAACAATAGTTCCTTTCAAGTCGGTGTAACACAAAATCAGGAAGGGTGGAAAAACCATTCCTGCAGAAGTCAGGAGACCAGGGTTGTGGTTCTAGACTGCTTTAAGGATCTATGTGCTCCTAGAAGAGTGGACTTCTCTAGGTGTCTGCTTCTTAGTTGGAAAAGTGAAATGTCTGGGTAAAATAGAATAAAACAGATTTCTGCCTTTGATATTCCACGGAGTGATTATGTATTCTGGGGGCTTAGCTTTCCATGCAGTAAGATTCTCTGATCTGTAACTGCTTCTCTCAAACAGAACAAATTCCTTTCTCTATTTCTGCGAAAAGACCGCTGACACTGAAGAGCTGTTCTTATTCTGTAAATTCACCAGTGTTAATCCCGTGTTTATATAATGCTTATGCAAAATAAAGTAGTAAAAAATCCCTAGAAGATGACAGATATATAGTCTATGAAATATAAAATGAAAATAACATAGTACTGAAAGGATATTTTTAACCAAAATCTAAAATAACACTAAAAGTAAACATGTGTTTCGGGGCTGGGGATTTAGCTCAGCGGCACAGCGCCTGCCTGGCAAGCGCAACGTCATGAGTTCGATTCCCGGTACCGGAAAAAAACCAAAAAACCAAAAACAAAACAAAACAAAACAAAACATGTGTTTCTACCCAGACTCCTGACCTTGAGCCATCTCAGATAAAGGGAACTCCCACATTACCCCTTAACCCTAGGAAATTCCCATTTCAGATACCATAAACTGCACATTTGCATTCGATCCTTTGTGCACTGTCCTCAGAAACAGAAATTCTTCCTACGTAGGTCACATCTCTTGGGTAATGTCTCATAATATTTTAGAGTTGCCACTATGAGGTACTGAATTTACAATAGGAGAAATGGAATTGAAAAAAAATCATTTAAGAAATATATCCATTTTCCCCTTCAGTCACTCATTAATTCACTCAATAAATTAATACTTATTGAACACCTGCTGTACACAAGATGCTGTGATAGATGTTGCGGGGGGGGGGGGGCGGAGGGGAGTCTGCAGCCAAGAAGGGCAGCGTGACACAACGCAATCGCTGTAAGTGTGGATCACCTGTATGTTGCCGATAGCGTTTGAGACATCATGGGGGTGTAACAGAGGAAGTGCTATTTAATGAGTGATCATACTGAACAATTTCACAGTCTCTTAAATAGGCATCTGGCTTGTGGAACGCTGAAAAAAGAAAAAAGATTGTCCTTATTAACAAGCAGAGAGCACCCTGCATGGGTGCCAGGCTTCTTTCTTTGTTTCTGCCATCAAATGACCCATTGTGACCAAATAAACCTTCTCTTCATTTCCTCTCATGAACCCTTACTTTCAACTTCTAAAATAATTAACATTTAAGCTGTGTTAGCAAAAGAAAGGAAGAAATGTCCAATTGCAAGAAAATGGCCATGAAGCATTTTTAAAAGGGTATCATTTATCTATTTTGGAAACAACAACCAAAACACACTTTTGCCATCCCCTTATCTATATTCAGGTAGCCCTCAAATTATCATTAAAAAATCGTTTAACTTGATTCACTTTTCATATTCCTTGGCATGACTCACCTCGGTCCTGATTCCGATGACATTTCCAGTATAATAAGATTGAGATTAAGACGAGGAGGATTACCAGGGAAACAATGCTTAACAATAATGGAATTGAAAACCAAAAGCCTGTGGATGGTGAAAAGGAGAAAAAAATGGAGTCACAAGAGGAAGTGGTAGAGGCAGAAAATGATACAGCAACAGTTGTGATGACATTTTACTAGAGTTGAACTTTCAGTTAAAATTATTGTAAAATAACATATCTCATGAAGTCTGTATTCGTGACTTTATATGTTTTTAATAAGATTTAGATAATGTCAATTATAGCTGACGTGTTTTATTCAGTTACTGCATAAGTCTTCACATCTAACGCCCAACATATTCCAACAGCTAGATATTATTATCTCCTATCTAAATACTAACTAAGTGAGACACTGCTAAGCTTCCATAGTTTCTAAGATCAGATGAGATCTGGCACATTCACAGTGGAACAGCCAAATAGACCATACCACCATAATAACATCTGGCAGTAGACAGCTATTATTATGTAACAGATAACAATTAAGTAAAACTGAGCCTCAGAGAAGTTAAGTGAGCTCAAAACTCAGTGTAATAAGCCCAGCAAAGGGAGGGTGACTGCTGTGAGTCCCAGGCCATCCTGGGCTACACAGTGAGTTCAAGGTCAGCCTAAGCTGTGTAACAAAATGCTGTCTGAAACACAACAAAACAAAACAAAAAACGTCAGCATAGTAGATGAAAGGGCCAAGACTTAGTCAAAAATCTGTTGGCCTCCAGAGCACACAGTCATTGCCATGCTCTGCATTAACGTAGTACATTTATTGAAGAAATTTGGGGAAATATTGAAGTAAAAAGGGGCAAAAAATCATGAATCTCATGTTCTCAACTCTCAGAAAGAACCCATCCCAATGTTTTCATTGCATTTCTTCCAGTCTATGTCTTTGTTATTAAATTTCTTTCCAGTAGTCATTAAATACAACTTGAACTAAATATCAGCTTCTGGGTGTCAGTTTGTAACACCCAGGCAAAGGAAGGACCCCCTGGTTTGGAAGCACCCAGAATCTTCTCATAATGAAATTTGTCACATCCCACAGTTTAACTGAAAACCTTCAGAGAGGGATTTATTTAATTTCTACAGTTCCAGTGCTTCACATACTGTTTTTATCATGAACGATTTTTGTAAATGTTCACAGAATAAACAAATATTATACAGATGTTATTGAACAGTGTATGTGACATAAATCAAATTTAGCATTCCTAGAAAAGACGATATGTTCCTCTTCAGGTTCTTGTTTTTCAGGGAAATTTACATTTTGCTTTGCATAAACCCAAGGACCTCTTCACAAATACTCAAATCTAACATAGCAAACTTTACTGACTAAATTGACCTAAATACTTCCTTTCTTTCCCTTGTTTTCAGGGACCTCTAAAGATGACCACAGGAAATGTTCTTTAGAAGCTACTACACCAATGAGGCATACATAACATTTTCCATTTTATTGTTTTAAAAATAAGCTCCCTTACAAAGAGCAATATTTTAAGGATGCTAATTACTAAGTGCTTCATGCAGAGGAGAGCTTCAAATCTACCTAGGGAGAATAAACTGTGGCTGTTGCTAGCATAAGTTATCTCTAAACATCACTGCTCCCTTTTCTCTTCTGCTAATAATTCTCCTGCCTTGTGTTAGCGAGGCCAAGAGATAGTGGCCTAAAATGAAACACAATGGAGTAAAGGCAGATGGAAGGGGAGAGGGCTTGTTTCAGAAGGAGCGCAAGGATATATCAGCGCAGCCCTTTTCTAATGTAGATTACGCAGAGATTTCATCACATAGTTATGTCTTCCAGGAACCTTCACTCCCCTCAGTAAACATTTACAAAAATAGTTCATGATAAAAGCATTATGCAAAGCACTGGAACTGTGGAAATTAAACAAATCCCTATCTGAAGGCTTTCAGTTAAATTGTGGGATGCAACAAATTTCATTATGGAGAAGATTCTAGGCTCTTCCATGCCTCCTCCTCCCCACCTTCAGACCTGCCATCGTGCACCATGGCTTTTTTGTGGAAGCAATTAACATGCAGTTTTACAAATGCCCAGATACTTTTCCGTATTCCCTGGCAGACTGGAAATTCTCTGAGTGCAGGAACTAACTATTCTTCATTTCTCTATTTTTCATGCTCAACCCAAAGTCTGGCATATGACAGACAGTAAATCTTTGCAGAATGAAAGAACCAAACGAATGAATGAATATCAACAAAAGCATTTCACATTTACTAAAGTTCAGCAATTCCCCCTTACATGTGATTTCACTTTCCATGATTTTGGTTACTCATGGTCAACTGTAGTCCAAAAATGTTACATAGGAGATTCCAGAAATAAACACTTCAGAAGTTTTAAATTGCAGACTTTTCTGAGTAATAGAGTAACAGCTCCCACCTCCCACCATCCTATTCCATCCCACCCTGGTCCAGTATACTGACATTATATATACGACCTTCCTGTTAGTCACAGTGTCAGAGTGCTTGTGTTCAAGTAACCCTTATTTTACTTAATAATGAACCTAAATCACACATATTTATGAAAGATATTATTATAGCTGTTCTATTTTGTAACTGTAGTTGTTAATCTCTTACTGTGCCTAGTTTATAAATTATACTTTATTACATGTGTGTATATACATATAGGGCAAAGTATCATATGTAAGGTTCAGTCTTAGTTGTGGCTTCAGGCATGCCCTGGGGGGCCTTGGAATGTATCCCTTGTGAACAAGGGGAGATGACTGTAATACTTGATTTGCTTTCTTAGCTCTCTCTTCTTTTTCTTACTAACCTCTTTCTCTCCCCAGTCATCTCCTTTGCTGAGCAGATGGAAAACCCTGAGAAACATCTACCACTTTCCTATGGGCATCCATAAGTACAATACATCCATCTTTAACCAACTTCTCTTACCTTTGTTCAGAGTTTTCTTGTAGTCAGTCACAGCCCCCAAGTGCAGCACCCGGCAGATCACCTCCTTCCCAACCTGACTCTTGGCATCTCTGACCTGGAGGATGCTAGTGACAGATGTGGTCCCATTAGGATGCAAAACACTCTCAGTACTATTATCAATCCCTGTCCCGGCAACCTTCCAGGAGATCACAGGCGCCGGGCGGGCAGTGGCAGAGCAAGTGATGTTTAGTTGATCTTCAAAGAAATTGTAGTGAAGGAATACTATGGGCTGTACTGGGACAAAAAAAAAAAATGACCTACCATCAGTAAAGTCATCTAGCCTGAATTCTGAATTCTCCTCACAGAAAGACACGATGGTTAGATAGATAGCATGGCCTATTCCACCCCACTGGGGACTTCTCAGTTCTCTCCGTCTGATTACCTGACCTGCAGGATGCAGGGTGACCTGGTCCAAACCCGTGATGGGAAAAGCCCTGCATGTTGTTTTTCTGCAGCAGAACTGACTGGCTGGACAGGGGATATTGAGGCATCACATGATATTCTTCCTTCCCAAGAAGGGTAATTATTCTATTCTCCTTTTGTAGGAGCAGTGCAGCATCTCTGCCTTCTTCAAATAGCTAGCAGCACCTTCTTATATGTAAACTGCACCTGCAACCCAACCAGAACCTTCTTGTATGTAAACTGAGCCTACCAGAAGCGTGAGAGCAGGTGACACAACAGAGAGAGCCCAAAGAGGGTTGCTGCTTAGCGATAGCCATTTTATGCTTGAAGCTGGACCAGTGAATGAGCCACAGAGTAAAACCCTTGGAAAACGCCTGCTTGGGTTTCACAGCCCGAAGCCAGAAAGATGGCAGTAATGAGAAGGACCCTGGAGATCACCTGGTAGAGTTGAGGGAAAAATAACTGACTTATGAGAAAAAGATAATTTTCAGGCCAGCTGTGGCTTGCTCCCCTTTAAAAATTCACTAATTAATGACTTCATCTTCACTGGAATATGTAATTTAACTCTGCCAAGCAGCACATGCCATTTCTTCTGTGTTTGGCTTTGGAAGTCCACACAGTAATTCCAGGAAAATGCTGAATGAAAGCTGCTCTGTGCTTCTAGGCTTAAGAGGTAGGCGGAGAGCGGAGGTTGCAGGGCGTGGAGCTGTGGAACTCCAGCTGTGCCCAAAGAGGGCCCAGAGTGCAAATAAACACCAGAAGAAGAGAGCTGAAAACAGGTGAACATGATTATGTGGCCAGACTAAGTGCCAGGGCCCTCTAGGGAGTCAAAGGATGGCTGAGAGGGAGGGCCTGAGGTGTGCTTAGGAAGGATAAGTGTGGATGAGAACAGCATTGCTGACTGAAAGCTCCGGAGGAGTTTGGTTTTCTGAGAAAAATGCAAATGCTTGTAAGTAAGAGAGGGGAGTGGAAGAAAGAAAGGTGAGAGGAAAGAGGAACAGAGGGAAAAGGAACAGAAATGAGCAAAATAGGACAAAAAAAAAGACGGGAAGCTAGAACAGATGCTGAAATGGAGGGAAGAGGGGTAGAAAGGGAGAGACGGACAGGCAGAGAATGAAAGGTGGAAATCAGGAAGAAAAACTGACAGCATTCTGCAGCGAGGTCTTATTACAGGCAAAATAAGTAAAAGTAACTTGTATTTGGTTCCATAACCCCCTTGCATTCCTATCTACTTAATTTCCTTTTCTCCCACGGCAAGATTTCTGGCATGCTCAAAGTCTAAGCTTTAAGATTTAATATGAAATATAAACATCCCTAATAATTCCCCCAAATACTGTTTGTCTTCTCCCCCTAGAACCACCTTGATGAGGCCAGTGCCCCAAAGTTATAGCTTATTTCTAGTTACTAATCTTTCATCTCAGCTGTTTGTCAGTAAAGGGGAAAGAAATCTCATTAAACTAAGCTTATTGGATTTTAAAAGAAAGCGTATTATCCAGTTGCATCCCTAGCTGGCATTATTTCACATATAAAGAGCCTCTGTCTTGCGTCCTTTTATCAGTCCTGAAAGAGCTCTTTTGAAGCCGAATGGAAAGTACCACCACAACGGACTTCATGCCAGCCTTCATCGGATTCTGTCTTTAAATCCAAAAAGTTATCGTTGTAAGTGGCTCTAGAGATAATTTACTACTTCACACTTATTTTCCAGGCAAAGAAATGTGAGTGAAGCCAGCAGGCAGGACCTGTCTAGGGTCATGTGATTGCTAAGAGCAAAGCCAGTTCTAAATTATATTGCTGCTTAGAGAGAATTTATTGCCCTCACTATTGTCCTCAATTTTGTGTACATGAAGCTCTCTCAGAGAAAACACAGTCTTTGCTAAAGAACTCAGCGACTGACACAGGAATGCTAAAAAACTATAATAACTGCTACAGTACACGTGAAAAGCTAAGGGTCTTCCATTGAACCTCTCTGTGATGAGGATACTGAAAAACTAGGCATTATCACCGTGTCCCAAACATTCTTGGAAATAGTATTTTCCAGGAGAAACAATGGATTCTCAGAGATTCTCACCATAGAGGGTAAGGCAGGCTGTTCCTGAGATCTTTCCAGAGCCAAAAGTATTGAAGAGACACATGTAACACCCTTCATCTTCCAGTGTTGCATTCCAGAAAGTGATGGCTGACTTCTGAAGTCCTAGTTCGGTGATGTTCACCCTGTCCCTATAGGCGGGCTGGACCACAATCCCGTGGGTCTTACTGTAGGTGACCATGTTTTCTGGGCTTACAGCCTTCTTTTTCTGCCATGTCACAATTACGGCTTGCTGGGAAGTTTGCAGAGAACATCTTAAGGATGCAGGTGTGTTCAGCAGATGTCTTTCATCCTGGGTAGCCACTTGCATGATGGTGTCATAAGAGAAAACTTACATTTTAAAACTGTAATACATGCATACATACACGGACATACTTTGCTGATAGCAAGTATAATGCATGTTGAAAGTCAAAAATAAAAAACGGCAAAGAAGAAAACAAAAAAGGATTTACATACCTATAGTAAATAAATATAGATTTGTTCAATCTTTAAAAGTAGAATATCAGAATATAATAACAAGAAAGAAAAGGCTCAGTGATGAGAACATTTGAAGACTCTTGGAGGCTGGAAAAGAAGTAGAATAAAGATTAAAGATGAAAACTGCCGGACAGGAGAGTTAGAAGCAACGAGTTAGAAACACGTCAGCAAACGAGTTAGAGGCAAGGATCAAGAAAGGGCCAAGGGGCTGGGGATTTAGCTCAGCGGCAAAAGCGCCTGCCTGGCAAGCTCAAGGTCGTGAGTTCGGTTCCCGGTACCGGAGAAAAACAAAACAAAACAAACAAACAAAAAAAAGGGCCAAAAGTTGGCAAGTAGAGTGATTAGTTTCAGTAAAGAAGATGTAGCAACACACACACACACACACACACACACACACACACACCTTGCAAAGGGAAGAGGAAGCACAGAGGTGTCTGCCTCTGGAAAACAGAAGTGAACACAGGCACCTAAGATAGAAAGATGGTTGCTCCTGACAAGACCTTAAAGTTTTCACACCCAAATGGCAATCCATGCATGCCCCACCTTCATTAAATGCTATGGCACTAGTTTCCTCTCCTTTCTGTGGTAGCCACTTACACTATGACAGACAATATAATGGCACATCCTCCTATAATAACAAATAGCCATTAGAATAGATAGTGTTCCTGAGTAAATCAGTAGGCAGGAAGTCCATGAAATAAGAGTTCTTCCAAAACATACCACAAAAGGGTAAATGTATGAAAGATCTAATAAAAAATAAATGAGTAGGGTTCAATGTTCCAACATCAGTCCAATAGGACCTGTAAAAACGAGAGAAAAGGAAGAACAGAAGATAAAAGCGCTGCAAGGAGGAAAAATTATTTTTCAAATTGAGGAAAAGAACACTCTAAAATAAAATATAATAGGGCCGGGGATATAGCTCAGCAGCACAAGTGCCTGCCTGGCAAGTGCAAGGTCCTGAGTTCGATTCCCGGTACCAAAAAAAAAGACTAAAAGAAGATATAGGGAATCATGAATCTTCATGTACTCCAAAGCCATATTCAGAAATTTATAAATCAAAAAGCTATAAAATACAATTTAAATGTTCACAATCATCTTTGGAGAGCCTTCTCTATCTCTCTCAGAATCTTCAGTTCCACATATTTTAGAAATCATTTAATAAACATGCATATATTAGTCAGAGAGAAGGCATCTTTTCAGGATATACTTAAAATATTTCCCAAAACTTGAACTTGAAATTAGCTACAAAATGTCACTGCCCTGTGGCCTGCAAACTATCCACAAAGTAATAAAATCAGGAATTGACACACTGCTTTTAAATCTTTAGTCATAGCAGAAATCATACATGCCTAAAGCCAGATGACATGAGAGTATACTACCTTGGAAATCTGTGTAAATGGGCAAAGCAGATCGTAGAGGGACAAATTGAATCTGAATTACATTTACTAGAAAACAAGAGAGACTGAAAAATGAATGCAAAACTTACATCTAAACCACTTACTCTTGCATCCAGAATACAGGAGTGAATTAATGAAGGTAAAAGTACCAATTAATGAAATGATACACAAAGGTAGACTTGATCAGCAAACACCAACCTTTGTTTTTTAAGAGTGAAAAACCAGATAAATGTTGGCAAGTATAAGTACAAAAAAAGAAGGCTGCCCCAAACTCCCTAACAACACTAGGGACAGGAAGAGAAACGGAACAACAAATTCCAGGCCTCCCCTGCGGTACCCCAACTGGAGATGTAATGACACAAACTGTTGACATTTTCAGGGAAAAGATTTGAAAAAACTTGCTTTTAGAATGCAGAGTAGACAGGAAACCAAGACAAGTGTTCAACTTTTGGGTGTTTTCTTTTTTTCCTTACTTGACTATAGAAACATCTACAATTCTTTGTTGCTCTATGCAATCATTCCGATTTCGCCAGTTGGTAAATCCTGCAATAGTGCTTTGTATCAGGGCTGGGGAGAGGCAGGAAGCCTGTCCAGGCTTCTTAGCCTTGCCTCCCTGGTTGCTGGGCAACGTAAAAGTGAAAGTGATTTTAATAAAAGGCCAGCAGAAAGGACAGCAATGATCTCTCCCAGAACAGAGCAGAAAAAACTAGAAAATTCAGCAGATCAGTAGATTACAAAGCACATTTTTCTGGCATGGTAAAGTGAATCCACATATCCTCTGTATTTCCTAATTTTCTGGAAAAGGACGGCAAGCCATATTTTAAGGTTTACTGCCAGATTATCTTCCAAAAACACTCTCCACTTACATGTCCCCCAAGAACGCCCTATCCTTATAAAGGCAGTGAATGATTATTTTTAGGTTTTTCAATTCACTCGAGAAAAGTGACATTACATTTTAATTCGCAGAGGACATTTCGTCTTAGTCTGGCTCATCTACGCAGACAGCTTCTAAATATCAAATTGCTAGTCAGCATTGAAGATAGAGAAAAATGTGGAGAATGGCAAGAAGCACTCCCACTCTTCCAAGCAAATTACATGCTTCAGCCGTTCATGGAACCAGCACAGCACAACCAGCAGCGGCAGGGCGGCCACCACAGGCTGCCCGGGCTGGGCTCTGAGAGGCAGGGTGTTGAGCATCCCTTACCTTGTGCAGTGCACAGCGCCACCGCTGCCATGCCCCAAATCAGGCTGGAGGGAGACAGACAACAGAAGCGTCTCCAGAACACCTGAAGACAGAAAGCAAAGAGCAGAAATGGGGTTTGCATTTGGATAAAGCTAAGGCAACTTCGATCTATTTGTTACTTTAGGGAACATGGCCATTAGGATTTTACCCACCAGAGAACTTTGATTTTGCGGAGGCAACAGGCATGGTTCACCTGTTTTTGCTTTTTTTGTTTTTGATGCTGGGAATCGAACTGAGAACTTTGTGCTTGCCAGGTAGGCGCTTGTGCCACTGAGCAATAGCCCCAGCCCGGTTTGCCTGTTTCTAAACAGAAAAACACCCCTTGAAACTGGAGGCCTTGTCTCTAAAGCCACCATTGTCAAGGGAGCGGTCTCGAAGACCACTGGGGAAATAAACTGCCCTGAATAAATATAGACAGGAAGGGAGTATAAATGGCAGAGTGTTCTTCCTAAGCAGTGCACATCTGTCGATACTGACAATATAACTGAAGGGGAAGACTCAAGGGGTATGTGGGTGCTTCAGCTTTGTTGAGGCACATTTTCCTGCAAAGTATATGATTTGCACAATTAAAAAAAAAGCAGTATTGGCTTTGATTTGATTTTTCTCCTTCATTGCTTCCTTTCCATGTGTCTGTACAGAAATTCTTTGCCTTCTTAGAAGCAATGGTGCTACTTAAGGGAATAGCAAGATTGTCAGAATCAGCTTACTATAAAATGAAGGCAGGATATAGTGCTTAGCTGAACTATTCTCCAGTTGCCTCCAGTTGGATCTCTTCACGGTGTCTCCCTGTGTGTCATTCTAAGGAAGACCAGGAAAAAAGGGAACCTTTCTTCACATTTTTTCCATTTGTTCTATAATAAAGATATATAAGAAATGTAAGTTTCTCTGTACTTGGTCTTTAGCTACACTTCATTTTAATATCATGTTGACATTCTGTTCCAACCAGAGGTAGAAATTTGATTTCAGTGTCATATTGTTAGAGGCAGCTGAGTTAGATATAAATATTATAGGCAGTTAGACAGGGCCAGGCCCTCAGGTAGCCAACATGAAAGACAAGATAAGATACCTTGTGTGGGTCAGACCTCAAGACAAAAGGAGTAAACAAATGCAAACACAGGCCTCCCTAGGTGTAAACATCAGGGATTGATATTCTAAATAGGTAGCAACTACCTTCAAAAAGCCAGAAAGAGTCACTAGCCCAACCCCCTACAGGAAAAGCCCCTGTTCTGTATTCATGCCCGCTTGCTACGTGACTCGCTTCCCCATTTGATCCCAGTTTACTCAATTTTACCTGAACTATTATACTTGTAATCTTATTGGCTGACCATAGTTTTGCCCCACCTCCTGCCCACCTTGTAATTTCCCATTGTCCCCCTATTTTGGACCCGCCTCACCTGGGGGTTTTGCTCTATAAAGTCCTTGGGAAGGGCAGGGTCCTTGGCAACCCACTGGAGCCCCCTTCTGTCCCTCTCTTGGACAGCAGCTTTCTTTCCCTCAGCAGATACATTCTGCTTTTAACCTCCAGTGTTCCTAAAATCCATTCTTTGATTTTAGAGAACACGAACTCATCCCAGATTATCATTCAGGCTGGGAGTTTTTATTTTCCTGTATCAGTATCATCTCTGTCATTTCAGTCTCCTTCCACTTCAACACTCTAGGAATGCCCCAGTCTCTGACATTTAACCTATGTTTCTGGAAGCTTCTGTAATACCAAGCTGTGGGACTGGGCTACTTACACTGTTAAAACCATGTATTCAGCTGGTCTTTCCTAAGATATCCGTGATCCCCTCAACCATCATGGTTTGTGCTTACAGGGAAGCTGGTATTCTCTCGTGTTCTAGATGGAGTCTTGGCTTCTCCGGTGGTGGGCAAAGTGAAATTCCACAAGGCTCTGCCAAGATGTGTACGTATGCATCTATCAACACTTTACTGTTTCTTTGTCATGGTGGACAGGCATGCATTTCCCTCAATCCCTCCCACTCCCAGTGGAGTGAGGCGCAGATGCTGTCTCTTCCTGCCTCTCAACACCTATTTGCCGGTTCCTGTTTTACCTCAACTCTCTACTTCCGGAAGCCCAAGGCTTCTTTTCAGAGTGCAACTGGTATCCATCCACAGACATGAGATGCTCTCCCACTCTGGAAAACACTTATTTCCTCTTGGATCATAAAAGCTACTTCCTCCAGCATCCTGAATTCTTTCAATGAACTCCTTTAGGCGAGAATTTTCTGTCCTTGGCCTTTCAGCATTTAGCCTTGTGGAATTCAAATGGTTCAGCTCCTAGTATCATAAAAGTTTGGCTCCTGAAACTTTTTTTCTGCTTCTCTGGAGTACCATTTCTCTTCTAAGGTGGTAGGTACTTAACTATATGATTTAAAGATCAGAAACAAAAAATAGATGTCTGGAATCAAAACACATGCAAGATAATACATCAAAATTATACGCCAACGGTGTCTCCCATAAGGTGACTAAACTGCTAATGGAAACAATATTAGCATTTATTGAATACTTATGTATTCAGTAGACTATTCTTAGAAGTTAAACTATTTCTTTTAATATTTCGTAGGAACTTATTAAAGAGGCAGTATAATTATTATCATTTCAAAATTAAGGATATGAGGTACAGAGAACATTCCAAAAGTCACACAGGTAGGAAGCAGCACAGCCAAGATTTAAACCCAGCCAAAGGGCCGGGAGGATAGCTCAGCTGCACAGTGCCAGCCTGGCAAGCGCAAGGTCCTGACTTTGATTCCCGGTACCAAAATTTAAAAAAATTAAAAAAATTAAACCCAGCCAAGATTTAAACTCCGGAGCTCATAACCATAAATGCGACATTTGCCCTCCCCTGTGTATCAGGGACTATTGGTTTTAAGAGTTAAACACACAGATACAAATTATGAAATGATGTTGTTACTGCCTATGGCAAAATCACTATTGTAAGGCATTATCAAACTCATGCATGCAGTAGTTCCTGCTTCACTGCCCTAGAAAAATATGCTAAAATCATTTTGAAACTGCTATCTGATCAATGGTTAACTAGGTTTCCACAGAGCCAAGCAATCGCCACTGTGTAATTATCTATAAGCTTTATTGACTATAAAAAAAAAAGGGTATCCTGTCCACGTCACACTTGTGTCTTGTCTCCCAGGACCCACCATCTTCCACTGAGCCCTACACACATGTCCTTCAGTCTCGGTCACTTTGCACTCCTCAAATACAATGCCCTTCACCATCTTGCAGTGCCTTGATGTCACTGAGCTCTTCCCCACTTAAATACCTTTATGTTTTCCTTCTCCCAAATGCTCTCAGTTGAATAAAAAGCAAAAGAGTGAACAAATAAGTTTATGAATGATGCCAAACTCGTCATTTTACCCAAAACAATTTTTCTTCGAGACTTTTCATTCCCAGACAGTGAAATCATCCTGAAGGCCTTATTCTCTCCCTTACTAATTACATGTAAGAAGTCACTACACAAGCCAATGCTCCCATGTGCAGCCCTGTTCCTTATCTTCACACCCCTACCCTCTCCTTGTAATATTAGGTATTTGGGCAATTGTCTTCTAGCTGATCTTCTATTAATACTTCTTCTGCTTACTCAATCATAGACCATCTCTGTTGAGTTTGATCTCATGCAAGGCACTCTGGTAGGGGCTTTGGAGACAATGGTGGGTAAGGGAGATGCGCACCCACCATTAAATTGACTATCCAGCTAATGTACATATTTACATATCAGGCGAGTTAATTTTCCTTAAGTTTGTCTTTGTACAAATTGTCACCCCATAGAAAACCTCCTATAGTGCCTTGCTTTATGAAGAAAATAATTTAGAATTTCCATCCTGGTGTTTCTTTTCCTGCAAATTCATCTTCTGCTGCTTATCTACACATTCCCTCCTTGAAAGCCAGCCTGGTCCACTTCCAAAGGCACCACCCAACTTCCTGCCTTGCCATTTTTGCTAAACCATTCCCGTATGTGAAATGCCTTCCCCCTGGCTTTTATTTAGGTCTTTTTACAAGCCTGATTTCAGTTATGTTAGCATAAGGGATCTTTTTCCTCTGAAATGCCTTTTGCTTGGATTTGTTAGAGCTGTTAGTGCTCTAAGCAGATTTGAGTCTCTTCCCCATGTGTCTAAGGGGACTTACCTCCCTTTTTTCCACTATCCTACTCCTTCTAGATCTTGTCTGAACCCTTCAGCACACTGTCAGACTTGAGAGAGGATGACCTCTTTCAAAGTGCAGCCCACCATACGCCCAGGGCCTTCGGACGTTCTCCCCAACACTCTCGCCACCTGTCAGGTACTACATACCCCAGTCAGTCGTTCTGTTCATTCTCTTGTTATTGGGGAGAAAATCTAATACTACAACATAACCTGACAGTTTTGAAACCACTGTTCTCACACTATACTAAATTTTTAGGGTTGGGACATTGGCTGGTTGTTTGGCAAGAGAGTCTAGTCTCTAATTTGACTGTTTGCTTTTCCTATTGCCCAATAAAGACCTTGATATCCACCAAATCCTGTTGTTTTACCAGGATATCCTGATCATGTTCTCCTTGCTTTAACCTGTTGCCCCAACACACCCCGCTTGGGTGCCCCACTCTGGATGTGTACGCTGTTAACAGCTCTGCTTAGTCCTGGCTTCTGATACTGTAACCTGAAGCTCATTTCTAAACTACTGGGCCATAACCACTTGCATGGCCTTGGTAGAGGGTCAGGATTATCATGGAAGAATGGTGCTCCAACTGAGGGAATCTCATCACCTCGTTCTCAATGTTTTTGCCATTCCTATTAGATACAATGGGTTCTCTGCTAGAGTTCATTTTCCCCAGCGCTCTAAACTTTATGAATGCTCTGAACGTTTTCTGGAATTGCTATCTTCTTATGATAGTCTTCCTCTTGTGGGCTTATGATTAGGGAGTAAAGGCAGAATCTTTGAGGATCTGAACATTTCCATTTACCAGAAGGATTTCTCTTTTTTTTTCCCCTGTCCTCTGGGAGTACTCTGATTTTTAAATCCTCCTTCCTTCTGACTATTTGCATTTGTTAGTTCTAGTTAACACATGCCCTTTCATAAAAATCCCGTGAGTAATAGCTAGGACCTAAAACTTAATAGGGAAAAAGTTACAAAAGTACCAAATCAGTTCAGGTCAACTGATGATTAATGAATCTCACTATGCAACCCTGGTTTTTAATGTAAGAAACAATACTAACTAAGCACCTCCCCAGGCTAGGGTAGAGATATACTTAGTAAGTACTGACAGTCATCTTCCTTCGGGATATACCTATAAGGGGAAGAGCCTGTTTAGGGACCAGAGGTGACGAACCTTAGAATCAGGCTTGTCTCAGCTCCCCTGGGGCCTTCATGTACAGTGCAGGGGCTTGTGTGTATGGAAACAACTGAGCTGCCACAGCCTGGGCAAAGGCTTGGTCCTTCTTTAGTGCCCACTGGAGATTCTCCATCACAGTCTCTGACTCAGTGTTCCTCTAGAACTTTTGGGACAAATATGCCGGAAGGGAGGATGTCTCACTTCCCCATGACCCGTCTCCAGGGCCAGCCCCCACATTAGTGCCCTCTGGTCTTCAACCAAAGATGCCCAATTGCTTAAGACTTTCTCTCTAGACTCCGTGGAGTGCCATCACGGAGCACACTGCTGTTCATCTGTGTGGCATACATTGTTTGTTTCTTACATTCCTACATGTTACGGAGAATTAAAATTAAATCTTCTCAGTGTGCCATTAGGACTAGTTACAGCTTGCACAAAATGTTTTTATCACTCGATACTAAGCGTACTGTGAGCATGTGATGCTCACCTTGTGACTGCTCTTGTCTTCGTGTTTCTAAGATCAGCTATAAAGTCACTGCCCATCAGGAAGTCAAAGATGATGCTGTGTGAAAAGATACAGCCTGCACCACACCTGCTCACCATTTCACCTTCTCTCACCCACTCACACCACGGTTACTCTGAAGACTTAGTACAGTGTTCAGCCTTACCAAAGGCTTTAGTGTGAAAGTGGGCCAGGTGCTACTCGAAATTTTCCCAGCCTCACCAAGACTGTTCCTTCCTATCTTATTGTATAGGCAAGTTGGGGAAATAATCAATCAAATGCTTCCTCTGAACCTGCTACCAAGACCTGACACATGTTGTATTCTCAGCGAAGGCAGCTGTAGACAGATATACTGATATCCTAATTCCACGTCATTTTTTTCTTTAATCATTATGCATCTCTTACACATGGAAATCCAGGCCCTAGAAGAAACTATGAAAGGAAAATGCAGACTGGATTGGCTTTCATAGTGAAAATCCGTGTTTAGGACAAGAGAAAAAAAGTAGACACATACCAAAACACAGGACTATGGACTAGAAGCCAGCAGTATAAAGAAACAATGTAGGCAACAAAGCAATGTAGGCCAAAGGAATCAGAAGGAATTAAACACGCGTGTTTTATGTTTTACAATTTTTCCATCTAGTCCATTCAGAACAACTGAAAATACTACCATGCTAAAAACCAGAGGATTCATATTTTTCAGGAAGGTGACCTAGGAGGTATTGCTTCAGGGTAGCCAGGAGGAAAAATGGACTTGAATTTTGCCGAAAGCAAATACTAGATGTATGAGGTAAGATATAGCATCTGCCTCTCTGAAACTTGGAGAAAATAACAGTATCAACTTCATGGTTAAAGAGAGTACATGAAGCACAAGTAGAAAATCTGAAATTTACCGCTACAAAATGTAAAACTTTTAAGGGCTTTTATGATATTACAGTGGAAAATCCCACACTTGACCTCATGTGAAGTGTTGTAGTCATAAAGCAGTTACACTAAAAATACGAAATTATCTCCAGGCCATGTGCGCAAGGTCTATACGAAACCCGAATGAATTTTATATTCATACTGGGGTTTTGTTCCCAAGAGATTTCATTCTGTGTATGCAAATATTCCAAAAGAAAAGAAAATATTTGAAAACACACCTGGTTCCAAGCATTTTGAATAATGGATACAGTTTCTAGACAGGTTTCTGGCACAACTAAGCACCAATTCAATGCTGGTCTTATCCAACAGGGATAGGATGAGAAGCTAAGCCCTCGAAGGATTTAGTAGAGTGCCCAAGATTTAACAAATACCAAAATGCATTATTTGGCTAAAAAGCAATACATGAACAGAGAGTCAACCATGACAAAGAGAAAGAAATCCACTTACAATTCTTGCCAAGAAGACCAGGGCTGACAAAGCCTTGGGTCTTACCTAACAACTGCCCATCTGGCAGGTATACATGCTCTTTCCCTGAAAGCTTCTGAATTGAAATCCTTGGAAACGGTTAACCTCTCAGCCTATTTTGTTATTTGCAAAAAGGGGAGGAATTCGAGTTGGCGGAGGGTGGTGAGGATTAAGAGCGTCTAGCCTGTGAGCCCTAGACACTACCTCGCAGACCACCACTCTCCTTTGTTAAGGAAGGTAATGAAACACAGTAACTGGCTGTGTGGTCTGTCCAATTGTATTCGGATTTTTATCTAAGTATGCCAACAGGATGTATGGCTGGTTTTTTGCAATGCAAACTGATCCTGAACAAACAAAGCGCCTTCCTTCTCTGGATATGCTGAGACAATCCTTTGATGAAACAGGACGGTCAGAGCCTTTCAACCCTCTCCGAAGCGCTGCCGCAGCTTTCTTTGTGGGATCCCTTCACGGCTCCCCAAAACAAGCCCAAGAGGCAGCAGAAGGCTAAGCAGCTCCAGAGCTGGGGTTCAACCGGAGCAGCCAGCACAAAGCCAACGCGCGCTCCGTGCTCCAGCCCCTTCTTGGGGCGATTTGCCCGGGCTGGCCGCCTGCAGGCCCCGCAGCTCCCACCCAGTGCCCCGGGGCGGACAGCGCAGCGAGCCGGGCCGAGCATCCTTCCTCGGGGAAGCCCGGGCGCAGGCCAGGCGGAGAACCTGGAGCGGCTAGTAAGCTGCCCTTTGGGAGCTCCGCTTCTCCGCACCGCAACGCGCGGGGATGGACGCTGTGAGCCTCGAAGGACGCCGCGGACCCAGCCCCGGCCC